TTCATGGCTCGTGTGCACTTATGCCCTAAAAGAAGACTTAATAATGGGACTGCGGGAGAGTATTCTGTTGCACATGCCGTGCTCAACCCTTAATTCTTTAAGCCGACTGAGCTCTCCAGATAATCCCAACACCTCAGCCCCTAATGGGGATACGATTTAAGGCCTTTGGGCCCAAATGTGCGTCTGGGTTATAAAATGAAGGCTCTCGGATTGAGGGGTTCAGGGTCCAGGGCTTTAGTCTCTGGGGTTTAGAATTAAAAAAACGTGGCGGTTTCGGGATTTCGGGGTTTTGGGGTTTTGGGGTGTAGAGTGTACGGTCTGCCAAACCTAACTTCAGCTCACAAAGGGCCGGGATGGCTTGCGGCAACTCGGACGATTAGGCCCAGAGGTAACGGTTCAGGGTGTAGGGATTCTGCCCACTACTATGCCCTGATCCCTCCATCCACAGCTAACCATGTCTACCCTGAACCTAAACCCTAAACCCTAAACCCTAAACCCTAAACCTAAACCCTAAACCTAAACCCTAAACCCTAAACCTAAACCTAAACCCTAAGCCCTAAGCCCGAAAAGGGTCTTGTTACAAAGACCATCACAGGATCCGTGATCTTCGGAAGCCCCGTTTTCTGTCAGGGTCTACCTGGAGAGTCGAAAAACCTACCTATTTCCATTTAAGGTTGTAGATACGTAAATCATACTCAGGGTTTAGGGTTTAGGGTAGGGTTTAAGGTAAACCCAAAGAAATCGGTGCCTTCTTCAGGGTTTAGGGACCTGGATTGTTGAAAAACCTACATATTCCCATTCAAGGTTATAGATACTGTTTAGGGTTTAGGGTTGTAGATACGCAAATCATACTCAGGAAACCCAAAGACAATCGGTGGCTTCTTCAGGGTTCGGGTTTGAAGGGCCAGGCCTCAATGGTCACCACGTTGTTGGCTCCAGCCTCGGGTTTCGGTGTGGTCAGGAGAAACACGAGCCAGCCGAGCCAGCCACCGCGAGCGACTGCAGTATAAATCCTGCATTATCCATAATGAGGAATATACCATAATTCCCATAGTTGCCCTAAACCCTAAACCCTAAACCCATAGTTTAGGGTCCTTAAGGTAATGCAGGATTTTTTTATCATCAACAGTAG